GGTTCAGCGCGCGACAAGTCTATTAGTCTACTTTTTACAACGGGCTATATACGCGAACAATCGATTCGTCGTCTTTTCTCATCGGATATGGTCCGATCTTAGTGATCGCCACTCACTAACTTTACCATTGCTCACTATATGTTTTGTCTTTCGAATCTCTCCCGAGCGTCCCTTTCTAAGCGGCGGTCGTCTCCTGCAGGCCGTAACAATGGACCCGCATCTCTTCGATAGCTCTGCACCATTCCAATGCAAATCCCTCGGGATCTTCGAGATAGTACGTCCTGTTTGGCTGTAAACAGTAGAAAGACAGAAATTTAGATACATTGTGCATGTACTCCTTCGATATAATATAGATAGAATGGTTTGAAGCATCTTCAAATACGATTTTGTGATCTTTATCAGAATAGTATAAAACTACGGTACGTGTCTCATCTACTATTTTTCTTTTACTATAGTAATTCAAAGACACTCACCGTATGAACAAAGAAGATCTTGAAATTTTTCGGCTCAACCCTCAATTCAGGGCTCCAGGGTATTTCGCCCTTGAGCACCATATTGATGGGATCGATATAGTATAGGTGCGGTCCGGTAGTGAGCAGGAGCATTCTCCGTCTGGTGAACAGACCTTTTCTTTTGTTGATAAAGCCCTGCTTCAATATCAGATTGCCTTCGACGAAGGTGTCCCACTGATTCGTGGCACGCTGTTTTTCCAGCCGCATCCTGATCTGCTCCGGCGTCAGATCGGCGATTTTAGCGCCGCCGTCGATGTTGTTGTTGATCCGCCTTCTTATTGGCTTCACCGCGGCCGCGATAGTCTTGCTGACGGGTTTGCTGACGGCGCTCTGTTCCACACCGGTAGTATTGGTGGTGACATCATCGTCATCATCCGTATCCTCGCCGATACCGAGTCCTAGGAGTCTAGTGAGCTGTTTGTCGTCCAAACCGGGTTCGAGATTGTCGGGCACTCTGTACTGCGATCTCAATTCCTCATGCTCCGACGTGCCGGGAAGATACGGATAGATGGGTGGTGGTGTCTGCTCGTGGAGGGTCTCGAAATCGACGCCCTCGAAGAAGGGATGCGCCCGAATGCTGGGATAACCGGCGCCATGCTCGTCCAGAGCGCCCAGTCGCTGTGTCGGCTCCAGAACCAGGAGTTGACTGACGAGCGACTTTGCCAGCTCGCAGAAACCGTCCGGTATTTCGTACTCGAGTTTCAGGATCTTTTGGAATATCATGTACTCACTCCTGGAGCGGAAGGGCGGCAGGCCGGCGACCATCTGGTAGACGATACAGCCCAGGGCCCAGAGATCGGACGCCCTGCTCGCCGTTTTGTCGGTCAGTAACTCCGGTGACACGTATTGAGCGGTACCGACAAAGGAGCCCCTGCGTTCCCTGCGGTATTGCTGTTGCTGCTGGGCGTCTGGGTCTCCGTCCGAGGCAGTCGTCGTCGTCGTCGTCGTCGTCAGCACCGTTTCTGGATCGTCGAGAATCTTGGCGCTGCCGAAGTCGGTGATTAGCACGTGCATCTTCTCGTCCAGCAGAATGTTCTCCGGCTTGAGATCCCGGTGAATGATACCGAGTCCGTGCAGGTACTCGAGACCGCGTAGAATCTCGGCCGAGTAAAACTTGGTGCACTCGATGTCGAAGGAGCCCACCTTGTTGATGTACGGCAGGAGCTCGCCGTTTTTAGCGTACGACAGGACGAAGTAGAGTCTCTCACTATCCTGGAAGGTGCAGAACAAACGCACGAACGAGTGCTTGGCGTCCGCGAGCATGTTCAGCACATCCTTCTCGCGCTTCACGTATTCTGACTTCTTCTCCTTGAGTATGTGACGCTTCTCGCATACCTTGATCGCGTACTCCTTGCTGGTATGGATATCTTTGGCAAGATAAACCTGTCGAATCGAAGCAGCTCGGTTATTTCATACTTATTTTTTCGTAATTAATTACAAAAAATTCTTTTTACGTTTATATTTAAGATGAAGAAGTGCAAGAAGAGAGACTTACGGTAGAGAAACTTCCTTCACCGATCACCTTGCCAAAGATGAAGTCCTTTGGGTTACGCTTGTGCGTTGGTGGGTTGATGGTGGTGAGGGTCGGGTTCGTCGTCGGTGGAACCCGGGGCGCCAGGGTGCTGGGAGGCGCCACCACACCATTGGTCACGTCGTTCGTCGGTGGAGACATTCTAGACACCGGCCCCTCCACCGTTACTGCCGGCTGTGGCGAAGCGGTAAGCGCCTGGTTCGCCACACGCTGCAATCAAATATACGCGACTTGTCAGGCACACTGTCGGCGATCGATCTATTTTCGCTAGCGGATAACGATTTGCTAAATGAAACGCACAACCTTGTCGACTTGCAACTTTATACCGATAGCGCGTTAGCTGTAATATAAACTTGATAATATGCGAGTCAAATGTCACACACGTGATAACTGTCGTTTTGTTCCCAATTGCGAGATTAATTTAGAATTGAGGCAGGTCTAAGTCTCACCGATTATCTTGCGGTTCGTCGAGGATGAAGGAATAGAGAAAAAGAAGGAAAGAACGAGCGATGATCGCGGGAATCAGAAAATTGCGGGATTCGACGACGTTAAGACGACCGCCTCTTCGCCCCCCCCTCCCTCCCCCCTCGCGAACGTTCGCGCGCTGCGGCCTCATTATCCTTTCCGCTCCGGAAGACGCGAGAGACACTCGCGCAGAGGAGGAGGCACGGACCTCTCCCGTGTCCGGCATTTAACTCCTCTCATCCGCCAACGGTCGTCCGGTACCAGGAAATCACATACCGGAAGCGTGACGTCACCCGCGACCGGCCGACACGTGGCCGCGCCGTGCGGGTCAGAGGATGATGACGACGGGAGGAGGACAGAGGCTTCGTCGTTCGAGCCACGCAGAAAAGTAGAAACGCATTCGTGCGTGCACGCACGGCCCACGCGCGCTGGAAGATCAAGGCTGACACGCGACCGAAGTCCAAAGTTTACAAAATTAATCGCGCGCGTTTCGCCATTTTCATATATATACCTATGTATATATATACAATATATATTTATTTATTTTTTCGCGGAAGCACATCCGCTCTTTCGAAACTCGCAGGCTATATATGTATATAGACGAGACGATATTTTAATCCGCGTTAGAGTTTAACAAGAAGCGCTGGTTGAATCCGTTTGCACGCAGAACAGCTTTATAATGATGAGAATTTCAAAATGTGTCGAGGGGAAGGGGATGATTCCGCTACCGTTAACAAGGTTGCGACGCAGTATCGAAGGAACAGGAACGAGCCGTTTTCCCCGGCGGATTTCCTTCGTTGCAACGGAACGATATTATTGTCAGCTACCTCTTTCTCTCTCTCTCGCGAGAGAGAGAGAGAGAGAGAGAGAGAGAGAGAGAGAAAACGTGATGTAGTGCGTAATTGCGACCCGTTTGCGAGACGCTCTTTATAATACGCTAAACGACTGGGTCGTTCTCTCACGCGCGCGACCTCCGGTTCTTCCTCTTCTTGTAACAGAAAAAAAAAATCGCAAAGGGATCGGTACTGGAGCGTAAAAGGGTATTATATCGCGATACAGGTTGAGCAACAGATGTTCTACCTGGTACCTGCTCGCAGGGGGTTGAAGACGATTAAATAGTGCTACGTTTAGAGAGGTATGAAATTCAATGGTCGAAGGGGTGAGAAGACCTGAAACCGGCCCCCGGAGGTAGAACGTGTCGAGTATTTCCGTTCCCAAAGAGGAAGGATCACGATCGCGCGTGTTCTCGCGAGATAAATGTCCCTCTTTACGTGCTGTCCTAATCGTCCCTCATTTCCGGCTCGAAAGACGATCGAGCTCTCTTCTTTCCGCCGTCATTATCATTGCACTTCCGCCGAAAAAACGATCCCCGTGTAGAGTCTCGTATACAAAGCATTGGCAACAGGTTTCTCGCCCTCGACAAGATGCGCGGCAATTCTTCATTCGTCCTCCTTTCTTTCAAGAGTCTTCACATTGATAAAAAAAGAGAGAGATATTGTAGAATAGAAAAATCTAAGCTGCGAACTTTCAGCTAAACGAGATGTCCCAGAAATCCCCTTTCTACTCTTACAATTTTTGCTACTTAGCTACTTTTTAATTAAAGGAAAAATTCCATCAATCCCATTCCCATCGTCACTCTCACAAACACCTGTCGCAAAATAAAATAAAAATAAAGAGCATCGAACAAACTCGACTATACATTCTTGATTATGTATCCATATCATTAATCTTCGCGGATAACTTATCAGAACTAAATAATGACGGAATAATTACGTCTACTCTACTGGAAATCATGGGATGATGGATGACGCGAAACTGCAACTGGCGACAGCCTTATGCGCAGCTCGTTGAATCCAGCTTTACGATTATTTGCGACAGCTGTTCGACAAGGAGAAACACTCTGTTTGAGTTCGCAGCGATGAAGAATCGATACGCAATAAAAATAATAATAATCGCGGACAACAAAGTCGCGCGCGAGAAATGATATAACGAGACGATCGGTAATGAATTGCTCGCGAGCTGAATTGATCTCGATACATCGTGATGTTTTTGCAATTGTTTTCCCGAGCCGAGCGATTTATCACAGGCCGGGAGTGATTTCGGCGAGAATTGCATAAGTCGACGACGATAAACGCGAGTCGGCACTTCTTATTTTACGCGGCCTTTTCTTGCGGCCTGTCGTAATTTTCGGCGCGCGAACCCCGGGCACGAAGGGTGAAAAAGAAGCCGCTAATAAAAATAAATCGTAAAACCCTCTCAGAAATCGTAAAAGCAGAATGGACGAACGTCCTACGAAAAGCACGGGCGGGCATGTTGTTTGTATAAGAGCAGACGAATTAAGTTTTATCACTTCATCGAGCATTCGACTTTTTATGATTTCCCGGCTCGCCTTAATGAAGCACTTCGCATTTGTTGGAAATGCAACGAGGGCGACGATGACCAACGAATATTACGCATTACTCCGGCGTCGAGTTTCTTCGCAGATGAAGAAAGGGAAGAGAGAGAAGTGTTTCTCTAAATCTTGAAACAAGTGTTCTCTTAAAAATACAATAACAGAAAGAAGAGAAAAAACTAAAAAAACAAATACTTCGAATATATTTGTATCGAAAACTGGAAAAATTTTCCCTAAAATCAAAAAATTTTCACAGTATAGTAAATCAGAATCGAATATTAACGAACAATCGGCCGGCAAGAATACATGCGTAAAAAAATAGCAAACAAAAATCCCGAAAAATAGCTGAAAATTAAAAAAAAAAAAAACAAACCGATGTATATTCTTGCTGATCGATTTCGAATAAACGTGGCACCGAATCTCTCTTAAAACAATTAATTGACTCTGGTAGAGTCAATAATAGCGGGAATAAAAACAGAAATATCGAGGGAGGAATAAATCGCGGGGTGCGAAGAAGCCACGGATTAACGGCGCGCGAAAGAAATCTAATAAAAAATATCCGATCGTGTGTCGTACAAGTCATAACGGCGCGAGAAAGGGGAGAGAGAGAGAAAGAGAGAGGGCATGAAAGGAGAGAGAAATAAAACGGACGATAAAACCCCGGGGCCGGCGACGAAAAGCCGCAGGTACGGTAAATAGCGGCGAGATAGGAGCGATAAATACGCAACGCCCTAATTTCGTGCTACCCCGCCCGTCGTCGTCGGCCATCGATCACTCGTTTACGGATGGAAGAAGCGGGGGGAGAAGAACCATATGAGGTCGACAGAAATGGGGTATATAGTATATACTCGAGGAAGCACTCGTGGTGTACTCAATGGAGAGAGAGCTAAGTTGATAAGAGCTATCGATGTCACGGTAAATCCACTCAAAATCGCTCGAAGAATAAACTGCTCATTTATCTTGAAGACATTTGGTATTTAGAGAGAGCGATCGCGGTATACTCTGTGGGATTATATATTCTAACGTCTTTCCTCTATAATCTATAAAGAGGGAACTAATACCGGACACCGGAGGGGCTCCGCTGGCTGACCCAGACTGATCACCGAGCCGGGTGGTACCGAGACGGGCGTACCGTCTTCGCGGAGGGCGAAAACCCACAGCGGTGGGCCCTTTCCTTTCCTCTCTTTATCTACCTTTTCTCGTTCTTCTTCTTCTTCTTCTTCTTCTTCCCAGGCCGGTTACGAGGCGGGCCCCACGGCGTCAACCATCCGTGTCAGGCCGTCGACCTCGTCGACGAGCATTCGCCCGAGAATCAACGGCCCTACTCGCTCTCTTCTACCTCTCTCTCTTTCTCTCTCTTTCTCGCACGCTCGCCTTGACTCCGCCTTGCCCCGCTAGTTTATTTATTTGCTTATCTATTCCTTTTACCGCCAGTTCTCCTTCACCCCGCGTGCCGACGACGAAGACGACGAAGAGGACGATATATAATCCAACCACCGAGGCACCGAATACCGAGCGTTCCGCAAACGCAAAACGCCTCGCCTCGATCGTCAGATATCGAGACGAGGTGGGGACCTCGAAGAAATAATCGATACCCGGGCGACAGTCCACCGTGGAATGACCTGGGAAGATTTGCTTAGATCGCAGATACCGCGCGACCGGCGCGAACAGGAGTGGGGTATTTCGCTGAAGTATTTGAAAAGCAATCGGCGATATTTGAATTTCGGCCGGTTGAGCAAAGGCCCCGAGAGAGGATGTGGCCGGCGACCCACGGTCCCGCAAAATTTTGTAACTGCTATTTATAGAACAAGTACGCGCGCGCGCGAGAATCCGCGTCAGTGGAGGATTTAGAATCTGTGGGAGAGTCCTAAGTAAAATAATATTTTAAAGAAATATTTACTTTCCTACAATACGTGCTTAATTTGAATCTTTTAATTACGAGAATATTTTTCGCAACATTACTTTATCATATTGATAAATCAGAGAACGAATAATTTCTATTTGTAGATTCCAATAATCGAATATATATAAGATACGAGAGCAAAAATATCGCATGTAAAGAATAATGTCCTATTTGAAAATAGCACACTGTGCGAATACACATACTATTGCAGTTACTACTGCTCTATTCGTTTCGTATCTCGCGACGAAAAGGTTAAAGACTATTCTTGGAGCGCGTCGATACGCGAATCTATTTCCGGCGACGAGAGTATAAAAGGCGTGCGAAAAAGGAGCAGCGCCGCGGAGAAAAGAAAATGGCAAAGAGAAAGAGAAGAGAGAGAGAGAGAGAGAGGCTTGCGCACAACACACAAGATCGACCGCTTTCCGGTACCCCCAGTATGTATATATCGTT